GTATAAATTTTATTAAAAAAATGTAATTATATTTCATTAATATTAAATAATATAATTTACATTAATAAAGAATTAAAAATTATTATAACATTATATATAAATAATTTTATATTATTTAACATTAATTAATAATAATTAAAAAAATTAATTAAAAGTTTATAAAATAATATGCTTATAATAAACTTTGTTAAAATAGCATTAACCATTTTACGCGCACTTTATGCGCACCTAGCATCTCTTTATGTAATCTTTTTATGTAATTATTTTTTATATTTAAAGAGAGTCTTTTATGTAATTTATAATTTAAATAGATTATTTATATTCATACTTTTACTTATTACTTGCTTATTAACGTACCATTTAAATGTTTTTATTTAACACTTTTAATTTATATGATACTACGTAATATAACGTGATTAAACCTTGTTTACCGACAAACCTAAGTAATATTAATTAATTTTTAAACGTTAAAATATTAAGATTTAACTTAATAAGCGATATATATATTAATTAACAACAATATATTAAGAAAGTATTAAAAGATTTAAAATTTAATAAATTTAAAACAATAAGTACTTCATTTAATCTAGTTAAATTTAAGTTATTTAAAAAATAATAAAATAATGCGAAATATAAAAAAATCAAGGAATACACGTTTTTTATTAATAAATATAATTTTTTAACATGCATTATAAAGTTTAATCTAAGTTTTATAATATTTATATAAGTTAAATATATGTTAAATTCGGTATTTAAATATTTTATTAAAATTAAAAAAGTTATTAAATATTTTAAAAAAAAATTAAGAAAAGTAATTTAATATAAAACCTTAAATAAAAACCATTTTTATAAAGTATATAATAAGTTTAATTTATTTAAAACGATAAATATAAACTTGTTAAAAAATATAAATATAAGATAATCAATGATTAAAATCGTTTATTTCATAATTAACGGTTCGATTTTTTAGTTTTTAAAATTATAATTAATAATTAATAAAAATATATTTAAAGTAAAGTTTATTAAGTTAAGTAAAGCAATTAAAAATGTGGCTTAAATTAAAAGCTTTTTTACCGAGTTAAACTATATGTTAAATAGTTTTATTATATTTTTTGAAAATAATATAAGTATTAAAAAGTAGTGAGTTAAGGCAGGGAGACTCAGGGGCGTCACGTGACCTTTTTTATATAGCTTCGCGTAGCGTGGCTTACAGCCGCGTCAACACACTCTTTTAACATCATTATACATCGTATTAATTTAGGATTTTATTTACTTGCTTTACATTTCTCGATTAGGACCATAATATATGAGGGCCGGAGCGTAAAACCTAGTTAAGGCCGTAGGCCTTAATTAGAAACCTCTATTCCATCTTTCAAAGCACTCTACTTTGGCTTAATAGGTTACAAACATAGTAATTAATAAGAAAAATCGTTATATTAGGATTTAATATTTTTATGTGTATTAAGAAATTAAAGTTAGCTACGTAATTATTAAATACGTTAAAAGTAAAGAAAACCTTATAAATAATTTAATGAAATTATTAAATAAGGGAAAATATTAAAAATTTTATAAATTATTAAGTTTAGAAAGTGTGTTAATATAAATAAAGCTTTAAAAGCATTTTTAAATATAAAAAGTTAAATAATAATATTGTTATGTATTAAAGCATTTTATTTATATAAGATAAAAAAATAATATAATAAAGTAAGATATAAGATATTTAATATAAAATTAACGTATTGTTTTAATAAGAAATAATAAGATAAAAAATTATATTCAATTATGTTATACTTTTAATCGCCGTTTGTTTTCACTTTCGATTTAACAATTTTAATAATATACGTTTTAAATGTTACATCTTTAATTTAATACAATTATTTTTCATTAAACCTGGCGGCTTAGCTTTTTTTTGCAATTATTTTCCGGTTATATTTATATTTAATCGTTTTAAAAATCGTTAAAATCTCTCATTATTATAAATATTTTAATTAAATTTAAAATGTAACTTTTAAAACATATATTATTAAAATCGTTAAATTAAAACAATTATATTTATAGTAATTATCGAATATCCAAGTTTATAAATGCGAAGTTATTTGCGTTTTTTATTAAAATTTACGTTTAATAAAGTAAAGCTTTAAATTTCCACTCACTGTTTTTTTTTTAAAATATATTGTAAATTTAAATTTTTTTTTTTAGTTTTTTTAATTAATTTAATACTAATCTAATTAATTTAATTAGTTTTTAGTTTAAAACTTTCTTTTTTTAATTTAATTAATTTTTTTCGATTCCTTTTTTAGTTAGTTTTAGTATAAGCATTAATTAAACTAACTAACTAATTTTACAACCCATTGTGCAGGTTCGAAAAGTGCTGCTAAAGGATGGAAGAGCTACATATAAGGAAAGCATACGTACGATACAAACATACGGTAAAACACGTAGTAGAAACACTTAATAGGAAACATATAATGGAAAACATCGATGGCTATGTATTTGAGGCTTGCAGCGCGAGCGTATTTACCTAGGCTTTTTACTTCATACTAGTAGACAAGACCACAGGTACGCGGAATAGAGACCGTCTACCTCTACTCATGGGCAGGTCTGATATCACGGACTACACGATATAAGCACCTATAATATGCAAATAAGCACGAGCATCCATAGATCTCTCCAGGTGTCATCAGGTTGACCAAGGAGGCTGGTAAGCAACTATGTCGCGCAAGGAGCCTCAACCCCTATCTAGCTGGAACTATAGACCCATATACCTCATGGTTCCTTTGTTCCCTGTGGATACTCTAATCTTACGAAGCTAACCACTGGTAAGTTTGTAGTTTTACTTGTAGATCAATGCATGAAAGGGTAGAATTATGTTATAATCAGCAAGTAGTGCTTGTGTGTAATTCCATAGCCTACTTGATTTACATGAACTGTGTGATCCCTCAAATATTGATCTCCTAAACTCCCGACGGAAATCTATAGGCAGCTAGATCTATCTGGCCAGTTCTTAGTAGCTTCGGTTGGCCCTATATAAGGCAATCAACTTACTAACTTTACTTCCAATGATATCAAAGATCACGCTACGAAGTCTTGGAATACTCTCAGAAATACATATCGTGAGTGTCAATATGCAAGCTAAGACGCTCAGAAGCAATTTCTATGTTTTGCGAGGAGCCTGGACCCACACTCACTGAGAATACCAACCTACATCGGTACCGTATGAGTAGGTAGTTTTTCTTCTGTGGCTATACCTATTCCGGGGCAAAGTCCTCTAATACGGAACAGAGCAATCAGCTCCCTCTACATAGGGGCATGGTCTGGCCGTTTGACGGCGAACTTATGCCGATATAGTTCCCTCATCAAATGGGCTTTCGGTTGACAGCTCCGCTATTCCTTACAATACATGGTTGCCGTCCCTCGCAATCGCAGGGCCAAGGGTCATTAGCAAGGCGATCAACCACATATCTCATCTCACACCAGTTGGTCAATTTGGTTTCTACTCGGTCAACCCAAGTGAGCTCCCTCCTTCGCTTATATTGAGCTAGCAGGCTTTGTCCAGGCTTCCGTTCAGCGAGGTGTAGCAGCAAGCCCCCCACGGCAGAATTGCAAGGCTCTGGGTGTTCCGCCCATCTATCCTCATCCGCTTCTTCGGGCACTATAGGAGGCCATGGGATATAAGAGTATTCTTGAATATTAGGGAAAGGATCTGTAGGCCATTGGGGATCTATTTGCCTGTCGGTATTGTATCCATTTTTCCATAACCAACTACAGCGACTCAGAATTTTAGGTGATTTGACGAAGCTGTCATCCTTGCTTACTTCAAGAACTTTTTCAATACGCGGGCGTAAGTCGAACGCTGGTGATGTGAAATACTTAAGGCATCGCTTGGGTTCGCAACATGACTTTTTGCAACTCGGGCGTTTACAGTGCCAGTAATGGTTGATCATGTCGTTTTTGTAACGGGGCATCCCCTCATAGTTTAGAGGACGATTCCAAATTACGAAAGTTCCCTTCACATAGGACATGACCGAGAGGCCTGCCATAAATATGTCATACTTGGGGCTGAGGTATAGCTTTCCTTTGTCCTTGGTGGTGCGTACGATGGCGTCCAGACACCTGCGCTTACGGGAAATATCTCTCCAGCATATATACTTATCATTCTCCAAAGAGTATACGGGCAATGTGAAGTCATAGAATCTGACGGCATAGTATCGACTCTCAGTGTTGACGGATAGCAGTGGCGATGCAAGTGACTTGAAGGGAAAAATCACCGGGGGTTGAAGGTCGAGGAGCACTAGTCGCTCTGATGATTCTTGTAGTAATGCTTCATTCCAGACTATGGATCGCAATTCAGGAGGGAGCTTATTGAAGGGAAATGAAGGCATAGTAGCCTGTGATGTATCCCGCTGTCCCATTCTCTGGGTAGGCATTATCGTGGAAGTTCAGTCGCTAGAGAATGAGCAATATTGTAGTGTAAGGAGGTTGATTTCTTTTTGGCTTTGGATTGAGACTTGATCGTCCTCGCTCGCTATGAAGGTTCAGTTCCCCTGCTCTCTGGAGGTGATTATACGAGGACAAGGAACCATTTCTGCTTATATCCCTATACCTAGGCGTCAGTGTTTGGAGTTTGTTAGAGCAGTATTGCTACTCAAGCACTTGCTGACTCATATCGCGACAAATAGCAAATCTGGAAGATTCTCCTCATGCTAGATGCGCTGCAATGCTATCAACTATGTAGGTATGTAGGTGAATGAATATGAGCCCCCAAACCGGGTACGGAGTCTAAAAACTGGTACCTAGAACCATCAAATTGTCTTAGAAAATGTTGAAAGACTATTGGCATGACGTTTGGGTACCGTAGGTGGTTACCACGGCGCATTCCAATCTAGCGAATTAGGGGTTAGGGGGTTGATGCTAGTTGGACCTAGCGTACAATGGTATATAAGGCCTGTAAAGGTCGGCGTTAACAACAACCCCACCTCCCTACGCTCCTTCAAGAGTTAGGCTGCCTGGCGAAATGGTATCGCGTCACTTTCCGGTACTACCATTCCTGGAGCATGGTGAAGATTGCGGGTTCGAGTCCCGTGGTGGTCGCTTCATTTTTGCGTCTTTTTCTACTCCTTTTCTTTTTTGTTCTCATCATCACCATTATTATTCATGCTACGAGTATTCTTTCACTTGCGCGCGACCGCTGGACGCTTTACTTTTCTGCGCCTCTGCAGTTGGTATATACTTCAGTTGTGAGAGTTGTCTCGCATGTTCCTAGGCTTGGTTCCAATTATGACAGTCACTGCTAAATCTTAGGGTCTAACTCTCCAACTACTCACACACGGTGTACGATTGAATTATCTTCATGAAGTTTGTATTCACACCAGTTTGGACCGGCTTATGTACCTATCTAGCAAATTAAGGCACTTAGCCATAATGACGCACGGTAATTAGGAGCAGTATAGTCCTTGCTTGCGTAAAGCAACGGGACGGGCAACTGACTAGCCTTCCTTTGGCCATGCGCTCTATATACATTCGTGATGAAGAATGTGCTATGCGGCCTCTTCAACGTAACCATTATTAGTATTATTCTCTTATACGCGAGCGTGGGGAACCTCTCAGCGGCTAAGCTAAGTGTGAGTGGCACAAGTGCATCTATATACCTCGACGATGCGTGATATCTTCGACGGCAACTTGGAAGATAGTGACTTTCACGACCCACCCAGAGGACCGACTCGTTCTCTTCTCCACGAATTTTCACGTCTGAATTTGGAAGTGGGGCGCTCAAACGGGCTTGCCGTTCTCCATGATCTTCTTGCCCTTGCTGTCGTAGGTGGTGACGCTGAAGGCCTCGTAGTCGTTGCCGTCCTGGAACTCCTCTTCAGGGAACGCGATACCCTTGAGGCAGCCCTCTCCGACCTTAGGCCAGCCCGGGGGTATGGAGTCGACTGACGACTCTCGAACCGTCTGGTCTCGGCTATCGGCAGCAGCTGCCTTGGCGCCCGCCTTTGCGCTCAGCGAATGTGAGTCCGGCGTAGATAGTTTGCTAGAATAGTGCGTCGGTCCCATATTGAAGGTCGCGTCCCCCGCCTTGCCACGGTGGTAGTGAGAGTGCGACTGAGCACCGCCGCGTCGGTTTTCGACGGGGAAGATCGGCAGGTCTGGGTGTAGTTCTGTGCTGTACATGATGATGTTAACAAGCTGAGTATGAGGAACACCAGACAGATACGAGCGTTTCTAAAGTTTCGTTAGAATATATATAGAATAAGCACGTAATCATTGGGGAACTTACCTGCTCAGGGGCCTTGTGGGACCAGCTGGTACCCTTGAAGTTCTCGAGGTTCTTCTTACGAGCAAGATGCTTCTCGCGTTTGGCCGAGCAGCGGCCGCAGAACCAGGGGCGCGCCTCGTTGTTAACGAAGTCGTCATCGATGTAAGGGTCGTGGCAGAGCTGGTGCCAGCAGTTGTTGCAGCCGTCGCAGAAGACGATCTGGTTAGTGGGAAGGCCCACAGCTCGCGTGCACACCTTGCACAGCGCCTGCTCGAGTGTGCGCTTGCCGTAACCCTTGCGCTTCTGCGAGGCGGCGGCGGCATCACGGGCCTGCTGCTGCGAGGGGTTGTACTGCGACGGTTTCTGCACCTGGCGGCCGGACTTCGTCATAGTGGGTGTGGCCTGACTCTCCTTGGCAGCGCCGACGGAAGCTTCGACTTCACTGTCGGACAGATCGCTCAGGATCGAGGAGGTGTCGTCGTCGTCGTCGTCATTGTCCTTACCACGCTTGCGCTTCGTGCCACGCTGGGACTTTCCCTTTGATTTTTGGGCCGGAATCTGAATCTGAGTCTGGCCCTGAATCTGAGCCTGAGTCTGAGCTTGGGCTGACGGCTTGGCAGCGGGGGAAGACTTGGCGGGAAGCGGTGTTCGAAGCTGGAACGCGTCGTTCATGGGCATGCGGAGAGTATTCGCAGTAGTAGCACTGGAAACTTTCTGTGTTTTCTGTGTTTTCTGCGTAGTTGACGAAGATGAAGGAGTGTTCTTAGGTAAGGGCATGGGCATCGCCATAGAGGTATTCATCTTCATCATAAGGCGTCTCTTGGTGTCCTCATAGGCCGACTTCTCGACGCTGGTCTTATTAAGCGCGTCAGACGCTGACGAGATCGCAGATGAAACGCTTCCAGGTGTCTTAGAATTGATCCGCTTAAGAATCATCTGCGTCGCCATGGAGAATTGCGGCATGTAAGGCGGACGGCCCGTGGAGCTGGCGGTACTTGGTGCCGGGCTAGGTGCTTTGGGGACAGATTGCTGTGCAGGCGACGAGAGTGTTGCGGCGGCATCGCCGTCGCTCTCCTTAGTGGACTCCATCGCTTGCAGTTATCTAGTCGTTTTTGACGCCAGTAAATTGTTACAGAAAAAAGATAAACGCCCTTCCTACCCTGAATACTGCTAAACGTTAACGGTGATCGGCGTGAAAGAGGAAAGGATGTGTGTCAGTTACTAACCTAACAACGGCGGGTGTTAGCGTGGAGAACTTCGCATCTCGACGCGAAAACCACACCAATAGATCTGTATTCAGTTGCTCAAGGTATTGTTCACCTCGGGACGTAAAGCTGCCGGCATAAGGAATAGAGGTAGAAATTCACGGGTGGAGGCCGGGGCACGTGAAAATCACGTGATGATATGATTCGGCGGGAGCTCCTGCCGGCGCGTCAGACCATCAACCTTTCAAGGTTCCTTGTACATACCACAGTACAGTGGTACCTGTTACACATGACAGCATTTTAACCTTTCTGTTTTTGGTTTCTAGACACGTAACGCTAACGTTTCGGTCACCTGCTTCTGTTATCAAATACATACATAAATTCATAATAGTATTATCATTGATCAAAACAATTTTATACTTGCACACTTTGAAGGCGTTATTCATAAATTGCTATCAATGGCATCAATTCCCAGTAATTACGACCGGGCAATAAAAGAAGAATGCTACAATTGTATTCTCTTTGACTGATATACATACACTAGTTATCTTATTACTGTCTATATGATTCCTAGGTGATCGTTACGGCTGGTAGGCTTCTACCTGACCGCCCCCTTTTCCTTCAGTGCGGCTACTTCGCCAACCTCCAGACCGAGAATATCGCCAAGGACCTCATCTGTGTGTTGACCTAGAGTCGGAGGTGCAGTCCTGACTCCGGGCTTGCTTTCGCTGTATTTGACGGGTGTGTTAACTAACTTGATCGGTCCGCACTGCTCGTGATCTATCTCGACCACCATGTTTCGCGCCTTGCTATGATCATGGTGTAGCGCTGTCTGCACATCATTAACCGCCGCATACGGCATGCCCTTGCCTTCGAAAACCTCAAGCCACTCTTGCGTGGTCTTTTGCATGCTGATCTTCTCAATCTCCGCCTCGAGCTCTACACGGTTCGCTACTCGTTGCGAGTTGACGCTATACTTTGGATCCGTCTTCCATTCCGGCCGTCCAAGCCCATCGCACAGAATACCGAATAGCCTGTCGTTACCACCGCCGAATAGAACGTCACCGTCTTTCGTTTTGAACGATTTATACGGGACTATCGATGCTATGGTATCATTAGCGAGGGTTACTGACCATACCCCTTTCTATAACATACGATGAGCTGTCCCCCATCGGCCTGTGTCCTTCTTCCCGCTGATGAGACAGCTACTTGCGATGTTAGCAAGTGTGGCAGTTTGGCAGTCACTTAAGGCGATGTCGATGTGCTGGCCCCGGCCGGTCTTCCCCCGAGCCAAAAGAGCAGCCATGATGCTATTACTCGTGTAGAGGCCCGTGGTCAGGTCAGTGACGGCGACGCCAACTTTCACTGGAGGGCCGTCTCGGTTCCCGGTGATATGCATCAGTCCAAACTCCGCCTCGACCATAACATCGTATCCGGCTCGCTGCGAATACGGACCCGTCTGGCCGTATCCCGTAATAGAGGCGTAGATCAGTCCCGGATTGATCTTGTGCAACGTCTCGAAGTCCATTTTATACTTCTTAAGAGTGCCGGGGAGGTAGTTCTCAACGAGGATATCGCATTTTGCTGCCAGCTTGTGCAATATCTCCACACCTTCAGCATGCTGAAATGAGAGACCCAGCGACTTTTTGTTGCGATTGATCTAGCCACTGAATCAATACTAGGTACATGTGAAAGCGCCGGAGATCTTGAAACCTACACCTAGGAAGTAGGCAGATTCGCCTGGTCCTTGTAGGTCGGAACCATCTCGGTACGCCGCATAAGGCGGACCCCAAGCGCGTGTATCGTCCCCACGTGTAGGGTGCTCAATCTTGATCACTTCTGCGCTTGTATTCGATATGATGTTAGCTCAAAGTATCCCTTGCGTCATTAAAGTGATTTGTCGTTTATACCCAAGGTCGCCAAGGATCTGTGTGCAGTATGGCTACGTCAAAGACAAGTTAAGTGAGCGAGCGCCGCACGTTGCTGAGGCTGGGGACGATCCTTCACTACATACACCAGCTAGCACCCTTGTCATATCTAGGACACGGTAACCCGCCAAGGGAAGGGATGCTTTATCGTCGCTCACAGCAGAATATCGTCGGACAAATCCAACATGATTGTGATTCCTAAGAAGCCTCGTGCGGCGACTGGCACGAGCTACCGTGCGACTGAACATGGCGATCGATTGGTGATGATTGATTGTCGAAACATAGAGGGGAGAGTTGTATCAGCCACTACCCGAGACCTCCAAGGCGGTGCGACGGTGGACAAGCTGACACCAACGAGTCCGTCCGGGGGCCAAAGCGAAAATGCGCGAAGACGGAGCGAGCAATTGCCGAAGAAGTTGGTCTCACGGACGTGGTGAAAGCCTTTTCCCCCTCTCTTTCTCTCGACCGAGGAATTGACAAAGATCGAATTTCGCGGTCCGAGTTAACGTGGAGTTGAATACCGAAAAACGGCCGCTATTCCCGATCTATTGGAGCTACCATAGTGCTGCCTGTGCCTACATATACCCCACAGCCTATGATTCAGCTATTATTAGCGGCAGACCAAATAGTGTCGGGTTACTTCGTCTGTTCCTACATTAGTACCAATTCGCGATGCTGTTGCCACTACAATAACTAGAGATA